CCACTGACGCCAGCAGCGGTTGCCAAGGCACAGAGGCCATGGGCGCTGCCCGCACTCCAGCGCACAGCCCACCCTCCAGTGCGCCGCCCGCTCCTCGCTCCAGTCACCTCCCAGCGGTGCGAGGCCAAAGCTGGGATCTCCCAGCGAGTGCCCCTGCAGGGGAGACCTCCAAGACCCCCCCGCGAGCGGGGCTGAAGGTCACCGCTCCGAGCTGAATGGCCACTTACCACGAACATTTATTACGGTGACCATCGCTGAGCTCTCAGAGCAGATTCTGACTCACCTCATCACCACCCGATTCAAGGCTCGGGATCAAACCGCGCCACGTTTGGCCCAGTTACTCCCTGAGCGCCGCACCCCTCCCCGCAGCAGCCTCCCTCCCTCCCTCCCCTGCTGCCGTCCCGCTCCCCTGTCCGTGTATCCGTGGGACAGACCAACTCGGGACCCATCCCACGCAGCTTCAAGCCCCACCAGTGTGACAAGTCCTTCGCAATTCTGCTGTTCGAATTGGTGCCAGCCAAGGACAGGCCAGTGCAGCAGCAGCAGCGGCTGCCATGACTGCCCCTTCCAGCACTAGCACCCACTGTACGTGCAGAAAACGTCTGATCAGAGGCCAGAAACAGAGCATTTAACTCCCGAGAGCAGGAAAACCAAGGTTTCTCAACGCAACCTTTAGTTGCCAGCAAGATACTGTCTCGCTGGGTAAAAACCTAATGCCTTCCCTTCCAGCAGCACGTTTAGGAAACGCTAATGCATCTACTTACTCAGGGAAAGTACAACAATAGCAGAGTAGCAATTTTCTGACTACAGTATTTTTAATTCCTTATTGGACACAAGTTTCCTTTTCCAACAGGGAATGAAAGACTCTCAGATGAAAAAAGATGAGAAACGACCTGCTCTGTTCCCTCTGTGTCTCCCTCTGTTTGGGAACAGCGCAGCAGCCATTTCTCACGCTGCTGGAGGACAAAATCCCACTGCGTGGAACTCTGTACATCCCTCAAACGCAGTTATCAGAACAGAAATCTCAGTGTCCCTGCCCACGATGATGCAGGGGTTACTGCTGAATAGCATTAACACTTCACAAACACTTTCAATGTCAATGGAGATATCTCCGGCCTTCCCAGGGAGCTGCACGCATTCCTCAGTCTCGTAGCTTTGGTTTGGCCGTGACCTCAGTATCTGTGCCAAGATCGGGGGGCCGAGGCACCACAAGCCTGCTCGCAGCACTGCCCAAAACCTCACTGAAGGAACCTCGCAAGCACCCAAGCTACAGAGACGAATGAAAGAGGCCAAAGAAAATTCACCAGAACATAATTCGTGTTTCTAACACGAGACGTACGCGACCTCCCCAGCTATTTAGTACTTACTGCCCTGAACACGCTGACTGTAACTAAAACTACACTGCAGTTGCCCCTCATTCTTTTTCTCTCTTTTTCAAATCTCTCAGCCCCCCCAGGGGAGAAAGGAAACCTTCCTCTGGCCATCTGGGAGGCGCTGCCATCAGGACTTACCATTCCAACCAGAAACACAGGATGCGTTGGAACCGCCAAGCAGTCGAGGGGGAAGCCGCAGCTCGTTTGCTTTCCCTGCCCACACGGAGATTCCCAGGAGACAACCGCACACGCAGAGGCCAATGGCGAAGCGTGCACGTGCCCCGAGCACTTTAGAGATGGCTCCCCTCCACCCACAGAACACCACCTATTTTCTTACAGGTGCTGAGAAGCACTGCCAGGACTTCTAAGCACCATCCCTTGTTCCACAGAGCCTCACATTTCCTCCTTCTTGCTCAACCAAACTAATCCCAGAGGACCTCAGCTTATGCCACCAGCGTCAACCTGGTTACGTGTCGTCCCCGCGTCCTAATGGGATTGGGATTTCTTCAGAACAGAGGAGTTAATTTAAACGTGCCGTATCCCGCGCAGCCACACCCCCCAGCAGGCAGGGCAGCGCTGCCAGGGAAGGAGTCGCCCGCGTTCCGCCAGGCTTTCTGCCGTCACATCCACGCCTGCTGCCACCCACGACCTGGAGACTCTGTGTCTGCCATGCATCTGCCCCCGATTGTCTCCTCTGGCCGTCATGTTCAGAAGACGATCACGGCATTGGCCCCGCAGAACCGGCTCTAGAAGCTTCATAGCAGCAGCTTCCCCGACGACGGGCAGGCTCAGCTTCACCCGAGGGGCCGCCCTGCTCTGGCTGAGCCACGGGGACCCTGCAGTGGGCTGCCACCCCACCAGGAGCCCTGGCTGTGCCGTGGGTGCCCCAGTCTCCAGCTTCACCACCGGCGCAGCAGCAGCTTCTCACACGCTGTACTCACGTCGGGTCTTGCTGTTTGTGCCTCGGTGTGACTCAAGAAGCCTTCAAACCCGTCCTTGGGCTTCCTCGAAAACTCCGTAGCCTGCGCCTATCGGAAGCCTGTCTGCGTTTCCTGGAAATCCTGACAATTTCTACCATTTGAGGACACTACAAAAGTCATTGGCTGAACAAGATTTTTCACCTCCAGACAGCAGTAAAAAAAAAAAATCTGTTTTATGTAACTAGTTTGGCTTTCATTTATACACCCTGAAAGGCTTTATTTTCTTTAATTAAAAAAAAAACTAGTTTTAGACTATGAGGATAGACCATTGCAAGCGGGATGCAGTAGCACTGTAGTTTCAAGATGATGTGTTCTACCGACCTTAAATGAAAACCTCCAACTTTATTACATCCTTCTCGCTTTCAGTCACATGAAGCAGCCCCACAACTCGCAGTTTCAGAACAGTTGCACTGAGACACATGCCTGACTGGGGACAAGGGGGCAAAAAGCAACCGCTCCCATCGGTACCGAACAGTACCACTTTCCCCAAGAGCTGGGGCAGACCATCCTTTCTGACAAACAAAAACCTCAAGAAAGTGCTACCACCTGCAGGCATTTAAGCCAAACACGTGGAAATCCAGACCATCGGCTCCGGGGGCAGCGTACCTCTCCCTTAACAGCCAGATTTCACTCTCAACAGCATCACGCTGCAAAGTTGCGCTGCTCCTCCTTCGCCTTGCTAGAGAACATCCATGGCGACCGGAGTCCTGCTCCCAACAGCGAACGCCTGTTTTGGGTCACTGAAGCAGCCTCAATGAAGTCACAAGGAAGGCAGCTAATTAGGCCTCCCCAGCACGGCAGGAGCACTCCTGCAGCGCCGAGGCATCTCGGGGCGTGCAGGTTTGCGCCCAGGGGACGCGGGAGGCCACG